AAATAAATAAATAAATAAATAAATAAATAAAAAGTGCTTCAGGACTCAGGACAAATGTCTCCCCCCTCAAGGCTGCCATCAAGCAGAATTATATTAATTGCAGTTTCTCTGAAAGGCTCTGAGGGCAAAGTCAGTATGGCAGGCAGTTATGCCGGCATGGTGATTTCATTATTTTTTATACCACTTGCCATAATTTCCAAATTTAGTACAGTGTGTTATTCCTTTCGATCCTGTTATTTTTATAAATTTTGTTATATCTTAGGGTTGTAAGTTGGGAAAAAAGGACCCTCGCCCAATTTAAGTCTTTATTTTATAAAAGAAAAATATAAGGAAGCAAAAGTAAATAGCCTGGACACTATAGGAAATGACGAAACCACGTTTTGAACAAAGCAGCTGCTCTGCCTAATGGAAGAGAATGTGGTTTGTGGAGTCAAAACCCTGTTTTTGTTTCTCTGCTGCTGGCCTATACAGCTCTGCACTATTTAGAACACTCTGGTGTTGAGTGACAGATCCTGAACTTTCGGCTTCAGCAACGACAAAGCACGTTGGCTCCAGACTGGAGCATGGGGGCAGGGCTGGCATCGGCCAAATCCCAACGCTCGGGCTCCATTTTCCTGGGTTCTGCTTTCCTTACTGGCTGACATCATCTGTAGGCTGAGAGTGGCCTAAGCCATGGGGGGCCTTGTAACACCCTCCCCCCCCCACGGAGGGTGCCCGGGAGGAGACAGTTCCTGTCCTCTCTCTCTCCTTAGCCTGAGAAGAGCCCCCAGGATGCCCTGGGAAACCTCCCCATCTGTGCCCACATCCAGCTCAGCCTGGCCCACACCAGCCCAGAGCCTAGCACAGCTGTACCTGAAGACTGTGGGTTTCCCGGGGAGAGGGGAAGTACCTGCGCCAGGTGGGCTGCGCGGGCGTGAGGGAAGCTGAGTGGAAAGTGCTCCGTGTCTCCTGTCAGCCCTGGGTCAGGCTGCAGCTTCTATTTGTGCCTGTTTCTGCAAATTAGCTCCACCCCGTGTCTGTTCATGAGGTGGTCCCAGGGGCTCTGGGTTCTGGCTGACTTGCACTGAAGAACACAATTGACTGAAACTTTTTCTTTGTATTTCTGCCCACCGTAATCTGTGCTAAAAGGCCAAGGACAGAGCCAGGGGAGAGAAGTGACTGATTAAAAACCTCCCAAGCCTACATTTGCTATTTAGTAAAACAAAAAACAAAAAACAAAAAAAGGCAGCCAAGCATGGTGGCACACACCTACAATCTCAGCATTATCGGAGGCTGAGGCAGGAGAATCCCAAGTTCACATCCAGCCTAGACAACTTAGTGACACCTTGTCTCAACAATAAAAAGACAAAGAAGCCAGAGGATGTGACTCAGTTTGCAGGCCCTGGGTAGGGCTTGGGATATATACAACTCAATAGCACACCGTCTGCCTAGCAAGAACAAGGTCCTGAGTTCAATTCCCAGTACAAAAACCAAATCTTCAGTACTGGCATGTGGTGAATCCCAGGACTAAGTCACAGTAGCGATCTATAGGCTATGGAGAGATGAGCCAGGCCCAGCTCTGATTTCAGGTAGAAGTGAAACCAGAGAGTATGGACAGGGAACAGGGAGACAGAGTGGCTCCCTGGTGAGCCGCCTCTCCATGGCTTGGGGAATGTTGAAATCAGGCTGGAGACCAAAATGACTCTCCCTCTAGAGAAGCCAAGAACAAAAGATACAATGGTGAGTGCCCCGTGGGTCAAGGATTAAGATGAATTTGGGCAGGCTAGGAGGACAGACCAGAGGAGCGATGCATTCCTGTGTAGGACCTAAAGGGAACCGTGAGGGGTCAGGACTTCAAAGTGACAAGATGTTTAGGGGAGTTGGCCAGGGTGGTGGCACATGTTCAGCCTCTAGGAGGCTGAGGCAGGAGGATGGCAAGTTCAAGCTCAGTATGGGCAATTCAGTGACTTAGTAGAACTTAATTCAAAAATAAAGGGTTGGGGTTGTAACTCAGTGTGAAAACCCTGGATTCAATCCTCAGTTTAAAAAAAAAAGAAAATATGTTCAACAATATACAACCACCACGTTCAAGTCTGTGGCCCGCTTCTGAATAGCCTCGGTTCATGTACTCCCTGGACATGTGGAAGCACTGTTAATTTAAGCCCAAACATAATTTCAGTAAATGCAGCCCTTTTTACATTAAAGTGTCTACGAAACTCAAAATGAACTTGGATTTTAAAAAATCACATAAACAGAAAACACTGAGGGCTGGAAAAAATTATCCGGTCTGTCATTCATTATAATTGCCATCTCTTTCTTTCCCAAGTTGTCTCACTCTCTAACGTCGATGGCATAGCTTGAGATATTTATGGGACTAGCCTGGTAAAGATTTAGCAGTGACATATATTACTGTGAGCTCTGGGAGGAACAAAAAATTGGGACACAGGAAAAAAAAATTTTTTTCTATTCTCCTCTCTGAAAATGTCTAGGAGAACATAAGAGAAACTATTAATAGTGCCTACATCGGAGCAAGAGGACTGAGATTGGGTAGGCCAGGAAAGGCAGCTGATTTGCACCACCATTCTGCGTGGTAGGCATTTTAAAATACACCATGAGTGTATACATCTGTCATCATTTTTATACATTAAGAGTATACATAAAGGAAAATAACTTATTAGATATATTCTCAGTCAGCCAAGTGGGACCTGTTCTATCGATTCTTAGTTCTGTTGTGTTCTATGCTACAGTCCTCCCTGGGAGCCTCTTCCCCTAAGGTAGGAAACATGGGTGACAAATTTAATGGCAATAAAGGTCAGACATTCTGCACTGCATGTTTTCTTTGAATGCTTGTACTGTCACCATGAAGTCCCCGTTAAGCCCTACCTACCCGTCTCCCTCTCATAAATCCCGTAAGAAATGGCCAGGGCTCAGACACACCTCATGAGGAAGTGTAGCAGAGTTGTCACTAAGCACGAGTGACAGATTTTCTTTCGAGTTAGCTCAGCAGTGCAGAAAAGTCAACTTTGACTTTGTTCGGGGTGGGACGCCAAACACTGTCTCGGTCCAGGCAGGACTGCAGGGCAGATGTGACTCCTCAATAACTTGCAGGATAATCGCGCTATGTCAAGTGGACAAGCATGATTACAATAAGAATCTCAAAGAATGCAAATGCTGGGTTGGGCAGGGATAGGTATTTAACAAGGGTGCTCAGGGCTTCCTGTACTTAGGAAAGATCTCAACTCTCCTGAAATGTGTAGCAACTTTTTTGATCTTTGGAGTATTAACTCATATTAGTTTCACAAAACTGGAAACTCTAGGCAGACAAGAATGCAATGGCATGGGAAAAACTCTAGCAATGTACTTATAATTACCGCTAACTTTTCATAGTAGCATTTTGGTACAGTGAAGCAACTTTCCTTATCTGTTTTCACCCTGACCTTTAGCACTGTAATCTGCATTATACATAAAGTCAGGGCCAGTCAGGGCTTCCCAGTAGGACAGCCATCTGGGAAGCTTTATTAGCCAAGTTCTTCTAAACCTGCAAAAACGAAGGCTGGGCTTTCCTTTCTTTTCTCTTCCTTTCCTTTATTATATCCCTCTAAGATGTTCCTTTCTTTCTTTTCTTTTCTTTTTTTTGGGGGGGTTACTGGGGATTGAACTCAGGATCCTGCGCTTGCCAGGCAAGCACTTATTTTACTGAGCCATCTATCTCCTCAGCCCAAAACCTTTATTATATCCCTCTCTCTTACCTCACATTCTTTTTCCTCTCATCTTTTTTTAAAAGAAATTCAGTTTATTCATTCTTTTTTTAAAAACCTTTTAAAGATAATAAAAATAATAAAAAAATTAGAAATGATGCAGAATTTCACTAGACAAGATGATAGGAACTCACCAATGGTTGTTGTAGTGCTTATTGCTAACTTCAATTTAGCTGTTCAGATTACCAGATAGAAGCATGCAAAATTGGTCACAAAAAAGGAGACATCAAAAAGAAAAAAAAAAATCAAGCATTAGCTGTTCCTTTCAATAAACCAAGCAAAATCAGTACAATCATCGCAGCTATACTGTGCATATACATACATATTTTGCCCCATCCTTCTGTCTTCTCTCCTTTCCTTCATCCCATGTGTTCTTCCTTTCATTTCAAAGGAGCCAGGGTGCTGATTCTGACGAAGGCAGGGGCACCTATTAAATCTCTTTCGAGACTGTGGTTTACATCAGAAGTTTTCCCTGAAGGGTTTGACTCTGAAGGCCGGCCTGCCTCCACAAACTTTTACTTGAAGTCTCTGAAGCCCAAGATGAGCTTCTGATGAACAATAGGGTTCTAAAGAGTAAGACAAGAATGATGGTATATTTTGAAAGGGAAAACTGTACAAGAGAAATTGTTCCTTTCAAAACTTCATTCTTGGGCTGGCGAGATAGCTCAGCGTATTAAGTGCCTGCTTTGGCAAGTGCAGGGACCATGGTTCAATCCCTGGTCCTGCATGCCACACCGGCCCCACCCCCAGGCACACTGGGGAGGCTGAAAACAGGAGGATCACTAGGAGTCCTAGCTGTGCAGTGAGACCCTGTACCAAATGCATAAATAAATAAATAAATAAATAAACTTGTTTCTTTTGAAACTGCTGAGCTCTGTAACTGCTTTATGGCTTTGTAGTTACTTTCTTGACCCTTGCAACCATGAAAGCATAAGCAAACATGCAGGATGCCTGATTGTACCATTGCACCAGGCTTCATGAGCTGCTGCCGCCCATCAATCTACCCCATAACCAATGATCACACTCTACTAGCTCATCAGAGGAACTGCCAGGCCATTCTTTCTCACCTTGGTACCTCTTGCTTGTGCATCACATAAAAGCCCTAGACCACCGAGGTCTGGGCCTAATATTCTGGGAATGTTCCTGAGCAACGTAAATAAATCTGCCTCCAAACCCTGGGTGTCCTTTCAGTGTTTCTACTTGCTGTTGCCATTTCTTCTCATGCATTTAATGGTTTTCTCTTCAAGTCTTTAGAATATTATTTATTTGACCTGGGGTCTAATTAAACTCAACATAATCTAAATCTTGGAATAACTAAGGTGATTTTGTTTCTCTTTGTAGTTGTCAATCCTTGCTTATGTTGGGACTATGAATCAGTAACAATTTTATTTGATGCATCTACAATATTTGAATGGCAATGGAATACTCATCTCTGACAAAACTAAACCAAAAAAGGGGATATAGATAAGGACCATTTTGTAGTGAAAAATATATATCTGTACATACAAAATAGGATAGATATACAGCTACTTTCTCTTAGTTCAATAAGAAGAAAGATTTGTATTATTAGTATTTAGACAAGATATCATGTCTGCATCTTGTACTATGAGTAACTACTACGAAGACAACAATATGCAATGTATTATTGTAACTGTCCTACTAAACTGTTTTGAAACTGTCTTATTGCTATTCCTTTCTCTTTTTTTTTTTTTTTTTCTTTTTTTAGGACAGGGTCTACAGGGTGTTCAGGGTCTCACTACTAGATTGGACTTGTAGTGATTCTCCTGTTTACAGCCTCCCAAATGCTGGGGTTACAGGCGTGTGCCACCATGCCCAGTCTCCATCGCTGTCTCAGAGCACCCTGAGAGTAAGGCTGGCACAGCAGGCCCAGGAATGAAACCCCTGGCCCCACGCCTACTTGCAGGTGCTTTTAAATCTGCTGAGCTCTTTGGCTGGCCCTCATTGCTATTTCTTTCTCAATAAAATTAATTTTAAAAAATTACCAAAAAATGATTTATGTGAAAGGCTGGATATGTAGCGCAGTGATTGACATATGTGCAGCTTAATGTGTAAGGCTGTGGACCTGCTCCTCAGCATCACGGAAAAGAAAAAAAATTAAAATAAGTCAAAAGAACATATATTTCTCAGAATCATTGACTTGAGTCAGGTGGTCTGCTCTGTGGGATAGGTAAGCAGCACGACAAAGGAGAAGCTTGGGGAAAGACCTGAATTTGGGCTTTGCAAGCTCAGCACCATTGAGCTTTTAGGTTGCGAAATTCGGGGTCGGAGGGGCGGTACTGTACAGCGTAGCATGTCACCAGCACCTAGGTAGCTTCTGCCCCTGGATGCCAGTAGTAATTTCTTCCCCCGAGTTACGACACCCAAAGTGCCACCAGATATTGCTAAGTATTCCCAAATGAACATAAATCATTCTCTATGGACCTAAATTCCACCCTGCTCACCATCATGAATTCCTAAATTTTCAAGGTCAGTATCTCCCTGAGAGTTATTTCAGAAACTTTCAAAAATTAAAAATCTGTAGCAGGGTAAACCTTGACATGGCCCTCGGTTTTCCCTGGTCACCTGCCTAAGACAGCACAGCATAGCCTTTCCCAGGAGACTCGGCCTGACTCTAGCAGCGGGCTGTGATGATCCGATAGATCTTCTCCCTGCCTCAGGATTCGGGCTAATGACGGCATAATCGATGCGCTGATTCTGAGAACATGCTGAGGTAACAAAGGGAAGAGATCCTTCTGAAGAAAGGTTTGTTTGTAGCCTGGGCTGGACATAGCACTGCCGTGTGTTTTCTCTTTTATAATGTAGAAGACTCCAGTGATCCGAGACAAAGCAAAATGTCAGCCTTTTTTACTGTATTCAAGTCTGGTACACAAACCATACACAGATGGAGCTAAATTTAATCACGAAAGAAGAAATCGTGAGATAGGCTACCCAGTGGCTTAACACTTATAGCCATATCTTCATTTTTTGAGTTAGAAATGAAGTATTTTATTAATTTCTTATTTGGGAAATATATCACGCTATGCTTTCTAGATTCAAATTATGAAGTATAGAAATTTAGATTTGGGTATGAAACTACCCCCTCTTCCCTTTTTCTTTTATCTTTTAAAGGATAATACTTACACATATAAGAAAAGTTGACTTGACCCCTGTAGATTGTGAAGTAAAGCATGAGGTGTGCGGGGGAGGAGGGAGTCAGTACATGTATCGCATACTGTTTTGGTTTTTTTTGCGGAACTGGGGAATGAACTCTCACCCTTGTGCTTGCCAGGGAAGCGCATACTCTAATGAGCCATCTCCCTGGCCCCTTCGCATTCTGTTAAAGTTCACTCAAACATTTGAAATTCGAAAGCTGCCTTAGCAAGGGCTATAAAAGGAGTACGGATTTTACTAGCTCCTCTGTAGCCTCCGTGACTTTTCCAGGTGTATTAATCGAGGACAGATCTCCCACCCACCCTAGGACTGGGAAATGAGCCCAGGTCATTTCACAGAGCCCTTTATTTTTGAGATAGGTTCTTACTAAGTCATTAGGTGGCCACGACTGGATTATAACTCATGAGCCCCCGCCTCAGCCTCTCAGAGTGCTGGGATTATAGGTGCTTGCCACCCCATGTGTCGTGTTAAGCGCTGGTCTTCCATTGCAAAGGCTAAACAGTAGTTTACAGATTTCCTGCTAGGTGGGAACATTGGCCCATTTCCCAGTAACTTTATGTTTCCTCTGCTAGAAGAGCTGAGGTGGGTCAGACCAATAATCTCCACACAGTCTCTTATCCTGCTGAACCAGGGCAATCATGGTTCCTGGGAACTGCCCCTGTGCATTATCTCATGGCTCTTGGTAACCCTTCAAATGCTCTCTTCAGATCCTGTGTGTTCCCTTTCCTATCACACAGAAAACCCTTTGGGGAAGAATATCTGGCTCCTTGTTCCATTTCCCGGCACCACGTGGCCTCGGACTTTGTATACTGAGTCCAGCAGATAACATGTTAAATAAACGACACAGCAGATAGCATGTCTGTTCCACCCCGAGTGTCCATCTGGAGTGCGAGATAATGTGGTGAAACTCCCCTCCGGCCACATCAGCAGTCCCAGGTGAGGAAAGGCAAAGGCCAGTTACAGAGCAAATCCCCAGGCTGATGTCGCAATCTCTCCTGCTGCAGGCACAGGTCAGCATTTCTGGTTTCGTATCTTTTACGTATCTGTGGTGAACAAGCTCCCTACCTCGTACCCAAACCTGCATTTTCACATGGAGAAATCTACAAGTGATTACGTCACCTAGTCCTTACTCCGGTGCAGGGATCGCTGGCCAGTGTTGTGATGCTGCTACACTCGCCCTTCCTGGAAAAGACCTTTCTATCCGGACATGGTGGCACTCTGGGGGGCCAAAGCAAGAAGACTGAGCATTTGAGCTCAGCCAGGGCAGCTTAACAACTTAAGTGAGATCTTGAATGGAACTTAGTGAGCAGAAGAACGGAACTCTGGCCAAAGTGTTTTCTGCTAACTTGTGGTCATTGCCTTGATGGCACTACTTGGAACCCATGTAAAGTTGAGTTTGTCGTCTAGACCCTATGTTGGATCTCAGTGGCAGACAAAAGGTGGTGCTGGGATATTGACAGCAGATGGAGGGAGAATGGCGTTTATTTGATTCTAGGCTCTGCCACTGTTGGTCGTTTGTTTTGGAGAAAGCCAATTAACCTCTCGGTCTCCCCATTTCCCATGTGAAAATGAAGCAATGATAACACATGTCTCTCAGCATTGGCAACAACTTTTAGTGAATGTGCATTGCAAGCTGGGTCTGGGGTTCAATCCCTAGCACCATTAAAAACAAAAAAGAAAGTGTATTGTAAATTCTACATTGTTATATAAATGCTCATGTTTAAAACATTACATCACCAGTGTCTAGCATGAAAATGGAGCACTCATTTCAAATCAACACCTCGGGTTTATGTTCACTTTCTCCTTGTGAGGTACGGGGACAGAAAGCTAGATACACTGGCCTCACCTTCAGGGAATATTTGTTTGAGAAAGGAAGCAAGAAGTCAAATGAACTTAATTATGTTTGCTTTATGAGCCTGAAAAAGTAGCTTATCATCTGTGAGTTTTGGTTTCTTCACAGAATACATGGAGTAATATCTACGTTTCAAGGACGGAGCCCAATACCTGCCATATGTAGCTCAGTGAATAACACCTTTCTAAAGAACACAGTGAGCACTATGTGGGCCCAAGGTAATAACCACGAAGTGTTATATCTGGTTGGAAAAAAATTCTGGAAAGGGTTTCCTAGAAGATTCAGAATTTATTTATTTATTTATTTTGTATTTTAGGGAAGGGTCTATAGGGTGTTCAGGGTCTCACTACTATATTGGACTTGTAGTGATCTGCCTATTTACAGCCTCCCAAGAGCTGGTATTGCAGGCGGGTTCCACCACGCCCAGTCTCAATTGCCATCTCAGTGCACACCAGGGGCAGGGCTGGCACAGCAAGCCCAGGGACTGAACTCTGGCCCCTGTGCCTGCTTGCAGGTACTTTAATCCACTGAGCTATTTGACTGGCCCTCAGAATGTATTTGACTGGAGTGGTTTTTTTGATACTGGGGATCAAACTCAGGACTTTGAGCTTGCAAGGCAGGTGCTTATTATGCTGCTGAGCGATCTCCCTGGCCTTTAACTGGAGTTCTGTTGGAAAATAGGCGTGTGCATTTAAAGACAATAGTAGCTAAAGCTAAAGCGTGCCAGGCACTAGTCAAAGAAGCACAAGGGCCGAATGACAACGAGAAGCCTGATAGAAGAGAAGGAAGACAGAAAACCTGACCTCTTGTTCTCAATATGCAACCTTCTTCTCCCAAGAGGCAGCAGTATGAATAGAAGAAAGAGGCATAACTACAGAGAAACCTCATGTGACAGGACAGGTTTAGGGCAAAAGGGCAAAAAAGACAGTGTTGTCACAGAGTCGCAGGCTACACTGAGGCCTCAGAGAGGAATCTGCTGCTGAGCATGGGTGATATCTGTTGGCTGTGAAGGCCACGAGAAGCAGCATTTTGGGCTTTGTAGATGAAGATTAGATTTCAGTGGCTTTTCTTGAGAGGCCCCCGTGTCTACAAAACCTTATCTATTCCTGTCTTTTTCCACGTGATGCTGTTGACCTTTGCAAGCCTTTATTTGGTGCTGCTTCTTGACACGTCTTGGCGGTTCCATGCATGTCTTAAAAGCATTACACTTGCACGTTTTCTCAGCTTGCACAGTATAGCGTGGTCTTGTGTTTCCTTATTCACATCGGCACCCAGGTTGTGAAAGGCAACCCCGCAAAGCACATTTCAGGAAATAATACGCACCTTGCAGCCTCTAACACACAAACAACAAAAACTGCCCATTCGCTGGAGCATGGCTCAGTGGCCGCACACTTGCCTATCAGGCAAGAGGCCCTGGGTCCTACTGCCAGCACTGCAAACCAAGAAGCAAAAGCACATTTTCCTTATGAACCTTACGGACTCACTTCCAGTTGGTAATGTCATTTTGCATGAGGCTTTGCGCCTCTCAAACCCAGACTGTGTCAGACTTTCTCCTGGATTCGGTTCAGGATGTCTTCATGTGGTCCTGGACTGTCGGTGTTTACAGTCACGCTGCTTCCCCTGAAGACTTGATGGAATGACAGCTATTCAACAAGAATGCATTACACTGCCGCAGTGTGCTCCCTGGGCCTGTCACTTCATCAGCAGGCCATTCTCATTAAGACTTCTTAGTGACTCACAGGAGCTCACCTCCCTGCACAGAAGTAGAGCTGCTGAAAGGTAGTTACCAAAAACCATTCTATTATTCAACCACGAAAGCATTTTTCTTTTGGCAAAATATTTGCGACTTTTAAATAACTTACTTGAATATTTACTTCTGTTTCCTATATTTACCACCCAAGGAAAGGAAACCTGATGTTAGCTTAGTATTCCAGGCAGCTGGGGTTTTTTTGCTAAAGAGACCCATGGAACTGCTGTGAAGTTCTTTTATGAAAAAAAGTTCTGCTTCGTAAAATAAAATTATTGATCAAACTCCCTTTTCAGCAAACAGCATCAGTGAGCAAGCGTACATGAGTCAGAGCTGTAAATGGCATTTATTGTGTGTTCAGTCTTCTCTACGTTTTCCCCTTCCTTACTTGAGAAACTCTTTAGAGGTGCTGTTTTGCCTACAAATCACCCGCCAACTCAGAGCCAGGCTCCATACGTTCATCATTTGGGCATTCAGCCACATATCCATCACAGTCACCGAGCACCTGGTAAATGTCTAGCACTGCGCAAAGCCCTTGGAGCACCTTAGTGGAAAAGCAGGGCATTCCTCCCCTCCTGGAGCTTCCTGCAGCCTCACGGTGGGGAACAGTGGGACAGCGCACAACAAACTTACCGGACAACTGCATTCTAGGATATGGAGATAGCTCCTAAGTGCTCAGGACAAAGCAAAGAGATGGAGTGCATGTGTGTGTGGGGGGCGGGGGGAGAGTGGATTACTACATCTTTGTTTTTTAATTAATTTTATTGAGAAACAAATAGCAATGAGACAGTTTCAAAACAAGTTAGTAGGACAGTTAACAATAATTAATACATTGCATATTGTTGTCTTCTTGGTGGTTATTCATAGTATAAGATGCAGACATGATATCCTGTCCGGCCACTA